TGTCCTGGAAAATTAACTGCTCGGTGCTGAGGATTGTTTTGATTTTTTGATTGTCGGGCAGTTTGTTGAACTTGGCCTTACAGTTACTGGTGAAGGTTTGTGTTCATGTCTTTGGTTCAAACCAGAAATGTATGCCACAGAGAGGTTTTATTGCTCAGACAACAAAAACAAGAGTTTGCATGGGTGAAATCCCTCACAGTTATTAACTTAGATTCTTTTAAAGAGTAGGCTTTGTTAAAATCAGACTTCTTTTTTTATTAGAAAAACCAAGCAGTGAGAGGGAGAGCTTAGCCACTGGAGTGCAATCCTCAGCTCAAGGTATTGCCATATCTGAGAGTTGTCCCTGTCACCGAGTTAAACGACCCAGGCAGATGTCCCAGCCTTGACCCACTTCTGGAGCCAGCCTGTAAGTCAGGAGCCTGAAAATCCTTTCATCTCTGGGGAGGCTTTTACAAGGGTATCTGCACATTGCTGAGGAGGCATTTCTGCTGCCTTCACCTGTCAATCAGGAACTGAGCACCGTTTTCAGCTATTCTGTAGATGAATCTCTTAAATAGACATCGGGTAATAGCATTTTCTCATCCTAAGCTCAAACCACTCTCTGAGAAGTCAATCGTTCCTGATATTACTGAGCTCACAAGTTTGTTCACTGGTAGCAAGGAGAGGATCGAGCTGATTAACTCAATTTTCTTGGTCCCCTCAGTTTTCATTTACAGTGCAGGAAATCAGCACTTCCAGGACAAGATGAGCTGTGCACTAAACGTGTCCTTTTCTCTCTGTTGACTGCAAAAGGAGCACAGGGCAAACAACTCAGGTGTGCAGGTCTGAGATTGGGCGAGAGAAATCCTCCTGCATGTGTCTGTCCGTCGTGTGGGTCAGGGACCAGAACCTGGCAGCGTGGGCAGTGGGCTCCTGGGGAACCTTTTCAGAGAATGGGGATTAATATCATAACTCGGCAATATATTAATTTACAGTAATTGCATATAATATCAGTGTGCACTTCAACTGTGAGACAAAATTAGCTCAATACTGGCAGTCAGGCATAGGTTTTTCTTACAGCTACTGACTTGTGAGATACTTGCGAAAGTTTTACTGTAATCTGTAGGGGTTCTGATTCCTGAGGAGGGACAACATATTTTCAGTGATGGCTTGCAAGTTTACTGTCCTTGACTTGGTGGGCTGATCTGCTCATAAACCACCTACCATCACAGTTTACAAAACAGTGTTTCAGAGTGTGTGCCTGATCATTATCTGGTGTAAGTTCATTCTTTTGAATTCTATAGCCTGATGTCTGTTTATGCCGGGTGAGAAACTAGCCAAATACTAAAGTGTACCACCAGTCCAACTACTGGAAAAAGCAAAACTTCTTGTTTCTGTTAATAAAGCAGTCAGGACAACCGCCACCAGAAATGCAGAAAGTATGAAGTTAAACCTGAATTGGAGGGGAGGGGGGTGGGAACTCAACCTTTTGAATGTGAGGAAGGCAAAAATAGTTCTAGTTGGTCCTGACTGATAAAAGATTATAATCTTTGCATCTGGCACATTGTAAACATTCATTATGGATACTGATTTTATGATACATTTCACATGGGTGTGACTCAGCCAGCAAGCATGAGGATTCCTCTCTGTGTTGATCTTTCTGATATTTACACGAAAAAATGGGAGGTTATGATGTGGGACACATGTTGAGAAAGGCTCCTCTGTGTCCCATGCTTAGATAATTGGTCACTGCATCTCCTTTTGCTCCCAAACATCTGTTCTTGCCACAGCTGTCCAGGATGTGTCTCCTTTTCTCCGCATTGCCAGGGTGACATCTTTGCACATGTAAACGCAGTAAAACTGAGGAGAGCAGGCATCTGGGTCCAACTTAGCCAAAAATTAATTTGTTCTCTTCCTTCTCAAAGTAAATAAGTTCAAGTAATCATGATGGTCACTTATTTTCTTTTCCCAAACTTTGCACATAGTAAAATAAAAACAAAAACGCCCTTTCTGTTTGTAGTCAATGTTTCTGCGTAATGTTTTTATTTGCATACAGCTGACCCAACTCACTTCACTTTTGCTGTGCAAAATTTGCTTTTCCAAATCTCATCAGTGATCTTTTTATGTTTTAAGGCTCTTTTTTTTTTTGTAAACTTTGCTTAATAGTTTAGACTGTATTAAGAGGCTGCCCATAGAGGCTGTGTGATCTCATCCTCAGAGATAGCACAGACCTGGACTGAGGTGGCCAGGAGCAGCCGGCTCCGACAGGTCCTGCTCTCGACAGGTCCAAAGAGGTGGAACCAGAGACCTCCTGGGATCCCCTCCAGCCTAAATTACTCTGTGATTCTCTGCCACTCATTTCAGCTCTTATTAAACTCACTGTATTCCTAATCTTGGTCCTCAGATATTGAAGTCAAGACTGGAATCTCACTGCCACATGCACTAGTCAGTGCTGCCAAACCAAACATGAAAAAAATTGCCGTAATTAGAGATTTTAAAAATGTGGCATTTTTTTTCAGTGGCTTCCTTTTCAGACCTGAGAAGCCAAAGGATTTAAGATCTGTTTCAAAACATAATAAATCCTTCGCAGGATGCTCCAGTTTTAACCACCCCCTGAAAGCCACCTGCCAAATAATCAGACTTGCAGTAAATTTGCAATTGGGAGTTGGTACTTTATATAAACTCCTACCAAAAAAAACTGGTTGGGGGAGATCTGTCTCTTGTCTTCTGTAGGATGTTAGACTGCATTGTTACACAGGTCCTTTTTGCCTTCATATTTGTAGATACATTACTTTTAAAATGCTAACAGCTTCTCAGATTTTCTACCAGTAAGACAAACTGATTTCATTAATTAGAAAAATTTAGCTAAGTATTTTCTTTCTTTTTTTTCCCCTCAAAATTAGCAAAAATGGGCATCTATGTTGTTAGTAATCTATGAATTTACTAGCCAGTTATTTTTTGATCGGATCAAAGACAGATAGTGTTCCCAAGCTTAATTTACCAGTCTTAAGAAAGTTATTTTTTGATGAAAGAAAGAGGGAGGAGGGGACAGTTTTTGACAGCAAATTGAAATTACACAGTTGAATTTATAACAATTTCTGCACAATGGCTGTAACTGAGTATCTGACAAAACAAACGCGTGTGCTCTACATAAATAAAGGGGGAATTAAAAAAAATGACACAATAACAAATGCACTGCAATGAGTAAAAGAAATACACTTGTCAAAAGCAAGGAAAGCCCGCTCTGCTGTAGAGTTTTCATTTCTCTGAGGGGAGCACGCTGTGCACCTGCCCAAACAAAATGTGTGCCACATCCAGCACATGCATTGGCAGAAGAATCCGTTGTTCCCTAACATAGCCATTCCTGGTCGTCAGTGGTTATTTTTAGTATAAAGGAAGAAAATCTTGCTTTGCGATGAGCTGAGAACAGAGACTTGGTGACTGTCAAAGCTCCACCTGTCTGTGGGCTCTCAGCGGTCGGACACTGTCCTGTTGGGGTCTCGGGAGGAGTTCAACCCCGGTCCTGTTGTTCACCATCTTATTCTGAAAAAAATATTTGAGCTAAATAAGGTAACAGCCACCCTTCTGGTGAGGGTCAGGGAGAGGAGAGGTCGTGCACCTTGGCTGCAGGCTGCACGACCGGTTCTGGGGAGCAGCTCCAAAGTGAGGGCCAGGATGCCTTAGCCCTGCTTCTGGCTGCAGGAGGGAGAGGATACAGTGGTGAATATATTTGTGGTCTGGGAAATGTGTGTTTTTGTCTCCTGTGGGTGCTTTTGAAAATTTCTACCTCTGGGGAAAACAGTATTGTTTATTTGCTCAGTATTTTTATTGTAGTATTCAACTTCACTCAGTGGGAATCCATGCTCCCTTGACAGCTACTGACATTTTCATTTCTTTCCTGTGCTTTGATTTTTTATTTTTCCTGCTGCATTCTCTGTCTTTGTGTGTCTCCTTTTCCCCATTCCCTTCCTAGTTCTGTGCTAAGAACTCATTTTCCTATTTTATCCCATACATAATCAGGAACAAAGAAAATGTCATTATTGACTACTGAGAGACAAGACGTAATGTTCCAGCTAGATTTGTAGGGAAGGAAAATGCCTGCATTGCTAAAGATTTGGAAAAAAAGGTAGCCCACTGTAGCACGTAAGGTTAGGTGCGTAGAATTAAAACCTTGATTTATGGTAAATGTCAGACCTGACACAGAAATGCATGAAGCAATTGAAATTTGAACCTCCATCTGGATTTTTGGTAAATTTAAAGGACAGTAGATTATTGAAGGACAAAAAGTGACTGAGGACAAGCTCTGGGTGTTCATTTCATCTGTGCAGTGTACCTCAGGTATCTGTGTATAGACACTAATTATCAGCTTTTCTTTATCACTGGCTTTCTGGTCATGCTGCTGTTTTTCTCAATATGTGGTATTTTACAACTATTTTCCCCCTCTGGGTTTGCTGGTGGGAGTAACTGTGCCTTTTTCCCATGGTCTGAAATCAGAGTCTGGCTGCAACAGCTCTGTATGCATGCAATTATTGTTCCAAATCTCACCTATGTTTTCATCTTGTTTCTCTTTCCACTCAGAAAATGAAGAGTTTGGCCCAAAGACGCCAGTCTGCACCATCTTTGATCTTTGTCAAAGCACTTAACAGGTCTCGGTCGGTCTCAAGGTGAGTCAGTGAGTTTTTCTGTACTGTTTTGCGGTTTCTCAGACCAAAACTTCAAATGCTTTTGAGCTATTGTCCACGCCAGGTTGTAACCCACAATTTGGGCTGCTCAGTAGCTGCACAACTATAAAGCCTGCTGGAAAGATGTGATGGACCCAGCCCAGGCTCCAGCTGATCTCCTAGCAGGGGTTCCCCAGTGCTGCCACACCAAGCTGTTTATACCCAATTGGGCAAGCGGAGTTGCTCTGCAATTTGCAACCAGGCATGCAACGTTTGGGCTGCTCAGTTCTAATTTAATTTGTGGCTGGCTATGGTTGCCTGCTGGGGAGATGGCATGGGCAGAAGATGAATGTTTCCTGCTTTTTGGCTTGTACACTTATGCAATGCCAGGTGTAATGCAGGAGTGGTTATTGTGGGATTGTACAATTTAATTTGAGCTAAGTTTCTGTCGTGGTGCAGGCTCTCCAGGGCTCTAGAAGCACCTGCTGGTTTAGGACAAGACTGTGGGCCAGGATCTGGTGGTCAGAGTCTTCTCCTGTTCAGCAGCTCGGGGAGCTGTGTATGTGGATGTGTGCAGGTATAAGGCATTCAGCATGTTTTGTCCTCATCTTCTGCCAGGATCAGCCGTTCCTCCTCCCTCCCAACCCCAATGTGAAGCTACCAGAGGTGGGGGTTTCTGTGGAGCTGGTCCACTGCCCAGCCCCAGCCCTGACCTGCCATTTGAACCACTCTGCATACATAACTTTTGTCTTCCTGCACTATAGTTCATTAGACTTTAAACTTACAAAACGTGTTTATCAAGAAGAGAACCATCTGGTAGTCTGTTAATGCTTCCAGCTGTGTAGAGCTCCTTAAGAAGAAACGTTATTGAGGGAAATTAAAGTATGGCTTTGTAAGGAATATTTTTTCCTACTTTGTGATGTGTTAAGTAAACACTGTGTGAGCTTTGGAAAGTTTTTTGTGTTTGATCTAACTAATACCTGGTTTCACATTTGTCATCATGGAGAATTCCTCAGTATTTCAGAAACCCGTGAAAGTATTCTGTGAAAACATCAGAGTTGCTAAATAGGAAAGGAAAATGAGTTGAAACTACTTGCAGGTCTTTTTGCTGGCTATGACATAAAAGAGGAAACTTAGAAATGAATTCCTAAAGGCGTTTGCACCTTTTTATGTAGTCTCGTGGCCTGAGCCTAGGACTGAGAGCCAGCAATGTGTGGTTCTGGGTCGGTCTGTAAAATTTCTTCTGTGGCCTCTCTCTGACTTTGTTTCCAGGTCTTCAAAATAAGATAAATTGGTATTTTATAACCCCTTTGTGAGGATACTGAAATCATTTATATTGTCTGTGCTACCATATTTATTCTTCATATACTAGTATTTCCTAATTGTATTTAAAGCTATGTTCATAATTGTGATACCAATTTTCGGGCATAGACGACACGTTTTATAACTGAGGGTGTGAAATTAGAGATGGACTGTGGGGAGTAGCAATAACTGGAGAGTACAGGGAACAAGAGATGGGATCTCTCAGCTCTTGGACTTGAGGGTTTTCTGTACTTCACACACTTATGTCTCCATCATGTCTTCCCTTCAAGCTGTCTTAAGACTTGCTCCTTGATATCAAGAGAATGAATTATATTTATATCCATTCATATTCATTCAATATGCTTATATTTCAGTCTTCTGTTATTTGCTGGCTGGAGTTCAGGCATGAACATTTTTCTTCAATTCCACTTTTATTTTTGAGGGGTTCTCTATTTCCAGTTCCTTAAGCATCAGAAAATGGACATAGCTGGAGAGACACTGAGTGGGATAATACTCAGCATGTACATTTTCACTTAAGAATTTTATGCTTGCTTAAGTGTAAATATGTCCTGCTTGTATAGCCTGGATCAGAATTATTTCCAGATCTGGTGTGTAGGAGGATTTTTTAAGGCCAGTTGGCAGAAACTTTGTGGTGGAGAGGACTGTAGAGGGGAAATTGCATTGTTCCACAATAAGGTCAATGCTTCACCTACTCGGCAAACCCTATGGCTTTCACAGCTGATGGATGCTGCCTCAGCCATCTCTGTCCCCTGCCTGTGGCATGCAGCAATATAGCTGCGCTGTTGGTTTGAACCGAAATCTGTGGCCATAGTGAGAGGTATCGGGTGAAGTCTGAGGACCCTGGAGTCAGAGCAGGTGATTTTGTAGCTTCAAAGTCATCAGTTAGAGGGTAACACTGTGGATGGTGCTTATTATTGTTCACAGGGGCGGTAATTCTCACCTGTGCCTGACTTCCGTATTTGGCTGTGCAAAACACATTCCTCTTCATCACCAAGCTGATGGATGAGTTTGAACTTTCCACTCGGGTTGTTGTGTAAATGCTTAACTCTTGTGAAGTGCTTTCTCTTAAGGCGAGCAGCAAAATGACTTCTCATGTTTTCTAATCTCCTCCAAATGTTTTATCTCAGACCTGTCTCAACTCTTAGTTCCTCTTCTTCTAGACACAGCCAGCCTGCAAAATGCATTATTCTCCTCTGGCAGTGAACCTTAGTACTGGGACTCCATAACACTTACTTGTTAATGGTTGATTAATGCCTTGTAGATAATAAAGCTCCTATCTGAAGTTAGCAAACATCTGTGAGGGATTTATATGAATCCTCTCACCTCAGCAGCTGGCTCTCCTCAGTATTTGTTGAAATTACTGAACAAGTGCAAAGTTTAAAAGGATAGGAAATACTTAGAAGCACAAGTCAGTTTGCATTTTTATACCACTTTATATGTCAGGTGTCCTTAGTTTATACACAGAGCGCTTTCATAAAATGTGGTGGCACCCACTTTGGACAGACTTACTTTGGGGCATTTTAAAGTTTATTAATGGTATTTATTCAAAGAAACCGTTGTGACATCTTGAGATGGCTATTTAGCATTCAGAGGATTAAGATTTTTTAATGGTAGTGTTGCTGTAGCTGTGATGGCACAAGTATGTAAGTGAGACGAGAGGATGTAGCTGGAAAAAGCAGATGCTTGTGTGTGAGATGGACCTCTTCTTCAGTCCTGAAAGAGAAGCAAATCTGAAAGTCTTGCGTCCTTAAAAGCTTGCCTTCTTTTTCTCCAGCTACATCACTTGTTTTAATGAAAGTTCAGCCTTCCTTACATATCTTGCCTTGCCATGTCAGTCATATAAAAGGAGTTACACGGTATGTGGCCTACAGAAGAATTCAGAGATGGCTGTATGGCACGGTGGTGCATACATATGCAACCATGCTGTAATTCCTGCCTCACTCGACTGTAACTGCAGGCAGCAGAGGAACGTAGTAAATAATACAGATATTATAGTGGGATTCAGGTCCTTATTTCCAATAGATGAAAATATGCAGATTATTCATTGCCTCCTGCTCTTGCTTCTTTTCCTTTTTTCTGTACAGTTTCTCTTTCCTATTCCATGAGTAGGCATCTAAGGACTGTTTCACATTATTACATGTCCTCTTTGGAAGCAGTTTGAGACAAGTTATTCTAGAAATACATGGGAAAAATAAGCTTTTGATATTTTTGTTGGCTGATACTCAGATGTAGGAAAAATAAGTATGATTGTTAACTCCATTAACGTGTATGAAATCAGCTAAGGATTTGGGTTGGTTATATTTGGCTGTGGACCTGTTCTGCAGTTGTAATTTTCCTCTTACCTTTTCTTGGTGTCCTTTAATGAAAACTGTGCAACTGAATAAGGAATAATGAAGACTTGCAAGCCAGATTTTCAGCCTTTGTTCTGCTGTCCTTCAAAACAGTTTTTACATGTGACAAAGCCCAAGCTACCAAGTTTCTGCTCTGCGTTGGTGGGCTTCTGCTTGCATCTCGGATGCTTCACAGGGACAGTGAAATTCTGTGCTGCAATTGCTGGCAGCTTCCCCTTTCCTAATGCATGCTTCACCAGATCTTTGAAAGTGATATTTCTACATGCTGAAGCTTATTAATATAATTTCACAGTTTCTGAGTCTGCATGACCATTTATAGATACGTGTCTCTACACACTGAAGGTGTTAAAATATCAGTAATGAAACTATTCTATTACAGCGTGAAATGTGTTTTTGATGTTATTTTCGTTTAAGCTAGAAGCAGAGGCTGTTTTTAAAAAAATTAAGCATAATTTTTAAAAAGTTTTATGAGCAAATCTTTAAAGAACCTGAACAGGAAGTACCTTAAAGGTCACTCCCACACAATTTTATTATGTGGCTTTTATGACTGAGGAAGCTACAGGTAAAAACTGAGGATTTCACAAGTTTCCAAGGTGTTTTTTCCCCTTCTGTACATGGAAGCAGTGTTGTGCCATTCATGGAGAGGCTGCTCTTCCTTCTCCCAACACACATTAAGTGATTCTGGCATGTTATCTTCCGGGTGTCCCATGCCAAATGCTAAATATCCCAGATAACGAAGATCATATGTGTAATCTAGTAATACAGTCCACTTGGCGCTAGTCAAATACAGAGTGTTCCCAAAGTCTTGGACATTGTGTTTTCAGGGTTTTAGTCAGAAGATATGTGGATGATCCAAGCTATGTGACTAGATGAAGACAAAAATAAAGACTTTTAATAAATGTAAATTGCCAGAAGGCCTTAACTGTCTCTTTCTCACCAGGAAGATGAGTATTTGGTGTTTCAGGCAAATCCGATTGTGGGAATGAAGGGAATAAAAGATCATTGCAAGTAACTAACTTGTTAAGTAGGTATTTCAGTTGTAATCATTTTGCTCGTTCGTCACTTGTTTCCATGGTAGTGAATAATTTCGCCTTGCAAAATAATCTCTGTGAGGCACATTTGACTGGTGAGGCTCAGCACCTTGGTATAGTATAGAAGCATCAACCTGTCACCCTACACCCCACAGCCATTTTGTTTACTGGCTGTCACAGGACAAGGCCTTTATGGGCAGGTACACCCTGAGCAGCTGCTGTCCCCTCAGCCATCATGATAGGCACCATGACAGCATGTCTTGGGGTGTGAAGCAGGGATGGCACCCACCCTCCACCT